GCGTAGCCTCAGATGAATCTACTGGTGACGTCAGCGCCTCAAGCATGTAACTGCGGGTCAGCTGTTTGCATCTTCTCAATTATAACGTCAGAAAAGTGACGTGGCTGCTGCATCAGTGGCGTAACGCGGATAAGTCTCGAAGACTGGGCGAACGGGAAATGCTACCACAGTGGGCCCTAGCAACTGGGGTCAATTGTCATCTTCAGACGCCGCTGGAACTCTGACAAAAATGTTCCCGTTTCCACTACCACGTGAACGGAATATGTGTGGCATGTAGCACACACTGGCCATTCAAAATATATACAAAATTTTGGTCGGTGCATCTCAACTGAAGAAACCAAGTGCCGGGATAGCTCAGTCGGTATAGCAACTGGCTACGGGCTGAACGACCGATGAGTCGGAGTTCGAGTCCCGGTAAGGCCAAGAATTTTCACTTCTCCATGCTCTCCAGGCTAACTCTGGGGCTCAGCCAGCCTCATATCCAATGAATACCGCAGGGATCCTTCCCCGGAGGTAGAACGGCTGAGGCGTGAAGCTGACCACTCACCTCCAGCTAGTGCCGAGGTCAAGAAAACGTGAGTCAATACATCCACTCCCCCATACGTCTTCACGTAGTAGTACTTAATTAGTTAAGCACTGGGACAACTTTTGCTCAGGACTGTGCATAGAGAGTAAGGATGATATTTAAACGGATCTGTAAAAATTACAGCTTGAAGATGGAGATTTGCTTCAGGTGGCTCGGTATACGTCGTAGAATGCAGTGGTGGGCTTTTGTAAAGATTTCTTTTATAGTCCCATTTTATTTGCAATCTGTACTAGTACAGTTAGCAAATTCTTGTGGTGAACTTTGACTTGATGTGGAGTGCTCATTTGCACTCTTCTTTGGTGAGTAGGCTTGAGGCCTCGTGTGACTTTTGGGGGACTGCTTATTATCTAGATCTTTAAACTAGAATTACTAGGATGCTATTACAGTAGAAATCTGGTGGGCACATCATTTGGCGGATGTCTTCGCAGTCGCCTGAAGTCTGGTGGCTCCGTAAGGTGGGCGGCTGGGTTGTTTGGGTGTGCTTAGAGTAGAGTATTGTATAGGGAGCTGCATCGGCGAATTTCTTCTCTCACTGTTGCTATGTGGAGATCTCTTAGGATGACTATGTTCGGTACGTACCAAGGCGCGTCCACTATCAAGCGCAAGGCTTTAGCTTCAAATCGTTCTAGAATTGCTGTTTTGAGTTGGAAGCTGACCCCAAAGTTGTATTCCATAGGTCCAGATTGGTTTGAGGATTGTGTAAGGAGTATTGTGAAGATAGCAATGAAAATTCGCAGTTACCGCATTTTTCTGTAAAATCCGTAGCACAGAATCTATGCTCACCTTCTTCTTCTGGTCCACAAACTGGGCCAATGAATGATCTGTTTCGACCTGGAAAAAGTACCCTTCTTGTAAAAGGGAAAGTTATCCTCCGAGTTTAATTAAATAAGCACTATACCATGAAGGAGTGGAGGCACAGCTTGAACATTCCTAACCTCGGCACCAGTTACAGGTGTGATCAGCTTCACGCCCCTGTCGCTTTATCCCCATGGAAACAGTGTCGGCACTTGTCGTGAGGTCTGCTCGAAGATGACTTCACAGGTCGACTGTAAAATATTTTAGATGTCTAATGCGGTTAGCCCTTCTAACATGATCTAACCAGTTCTGTCTTCTTTACGAGTGCATCCATAACCTTGAATTTCTTCTGTGGTCCAATAAACTGTATCCCGATGCGAGACCTACGAATTTCTTCTGTGGTCCAATAAACTGTATCCCGATGCGAGTCCTACGAATTTCTTCTGTGGTCCAATAAACTGTATCCCGATGCGAGACCTACGAATTTCTTCTGTGCTGTCTCGAGTCTTCTACATGGGCCTTTCTTTCAGACTCAGTATTTCACAAATAACAGCCTGAGATGCGATGACTCAAATTCTGTATAATTTAGTTCAGACTGTCTTTGGGATCAATTCGAATCACTGTTTCAAGTAAATCATATTTCGTAACATTTTTCAAATGAGTCGGAATAGCTCAGCTGGCGTAACGACGGGCTACAGGGTAAACGACAGCTGGTGCGAGGTTCGATTCTCGGGTGGGGCAAGAAATATATTTCGTCTCAATAGAGTCCAAACCGGTTCTGTAGTCCACTGTCTCCTACCTAAAGGGTTCAGCTGACCACCCATCTTGCCTAGTGTCGCGCTTGGGCACGCGTTGCGTTATACCTGCAATCCTCATCTCGCCCCCTTACGCAACACTTTTCAAAGTTAAATCTGTAAAGTAATACACGGAAATGTGTAACAGAATTTAGGGCCTCCACTTCGACTATTCAGCCCAGTATCGACGGTTACAAGGAAAGTGACGAGACCGTTGACACGCACAGACAGAAATATTACGACCAGTAACTACGTATGGAAGTTACATCTGGGTGCCCAGTTCTGGCATCTGAATCACTGAGCGAGCAGGGTCAGGGGGCGCTAGGAACAGAGGCCCGGCTGTTGTAGACACAACACGCTCTCCCTGTGATATATATATATATATGTATATCGGAAACGGTGCCGAGGGGGAGGCACAGATAAACACATGAGAGGAAAGAGAGAGGTACAAATAAACAATATTTATTCATGGTTTATTTAACGGTGGAGTAGGGCAGCTCGGATTATACGTCATAAAATGGCAGTATGATTAATGAATTGGAAAGGATTTGACAGGAAGCGATCATGCCATATTTTGAGGTGCTCGAAGGGACCGAGGAAAGACACTCAGTGTTGCGGCCTATATTCGAACCTAAGGGCGGGTACTCGCTATAACGCTGCAACGTGCAACGCAACGGTTGCTGCAACCACATTTTTCTAATGAGTACGCCTTGAGCTTCGTTGCTGCAACAATTCGCAGTGAGGCGCCCTGTAACCCATCTGGCTGTCTGTATTCTGGCTAATACAAAGCGGCGCGCAGTGTTCGTTGACGTGGGCAGAGACATTTCATAATTCATGTCTTCACTACGAACTCTGCGGCGCAACTAGTGTTCGAGTTTGGGTTCGGTGAACGTACACATCATACGTGGTTGCAGCAACCGTTGCAGCGTTGTAGTGATTACCCGCCCTAACACTACCCGTGAACGAGTTTAAGCGTTACCGCTCGGTACCCCACACGGGGCTGCTCGTTTACGGGCTAAGACACGACCACCGAATACTCGTATCTTCGAACCGCTACACTCCCTAAAGTAAAAGCTTGAAACCCAAAATGAGGGCGGAATATTCCCAGAACAGTAACACGAGCGTGTCCGGGGTAGGGGCAGGCCAGCCGGAGTCACTGCATTGGAATTGGTCCCTCAGTTTCACTGACCGTCTGTCTTGGAGGGGTACGTAGGCCAACCTTACGCAATAAAAGTTCTGATTTGTTCAAGATCTCCAGTATGCTGATCGTAAAAACCCTGACACATAGGTTATGAAACGGGTGGGTACAGCTTCCGCAAGTCTCACTAATCAAAATTCGTATTGTAAGCGTTATATCTTCCGGGATGCGACGCCTTATAGTCCGGCAGAAGTTCACCGAAGTTTGGGGGAATCGTCGGTGAAATTCTTAGGGCAAAAAAAAAGTAAAGCTATCCCTGTAACAGGCCATGGGGAGCCACAGAGTTGAGACGTCGAGGCTCCCGCATGTCCAATGTCAAACGGGTTGCGATCGACATTTTGGTGTCAAAACTGCCAGTGATCTACCGCTCCCTCCTATCGTCGTACCTCGCTTTAAGCAAAATTATTGCTAAAAATAACACGACACTTGATGTATGTTGTAAAAGCAACATACATTGAAAGTACAGACTACTTTAACACGTATTTCCCCTTCAAAATTTGAATATGATCATATTATATTACAAGTTAATTTACATGATTTCACGTATATTTCCTTATAGGCCAATGAGATTGACCAAAAATCGTCCTGCGATCGACGCGTTGGACATGCCTGTTCTAGACAATCAGCTCACAGATGGCTGTGTGGCTGTCAGCCTTTGGGTGGGACTAAGTCCCTTGTACTGTGGCCACTTCTGGCCTATTGTACCAGCCCCAGACAGATGATAGGTGAGGGTGATTGTGGAGCAATTGGTGGAATGAAGATTGGCAGGAGAAACCAAAGTACTCGGAGAAAACCTGCCCCAGCGCCACTTTCTCCACTACAAATCCCACTTGACCAGACCCGGGATCGAACCCGGGCCGCCGCGGTGGGAAGCCAGCGACTAACCGCTTGAGCTATGGCGTGACCGGCTGTCAGCCTTACGCACCGGTCGCCCTTTACCCCGACACGAAGATTCCTGGTACTCATTTCTGTTTGGGGGCAGAGTCGACCCCGGGGGCCAGACTGCGGCTGGAATGCTTAGGTCAACTGAAAAAAGCAGATGACCCATCGGGAATCGAACCCACGACCTTCCAGTTTGTAGCGTAGTACCTCAACCAACTACGCTACCGCGTGCCCCGAAATTCTACCGGACTATCTCAGATCCCGAGAAAATATACATCTGATTGCGTGACAATATCAAATGCTCACCCATATAGAAACGGGCCATGCTCGGCGTAGCTTGGCCAAGGTTTTATTGACGGAACTGGTTAGTTTTATCCGTCCTTCCCTAAAGATCATATGCTTTCAGAATTTATTCCTTTGTGATACGAATCATAGCTACACGCGGCACGTGTTGGGACCCTCTACTTATAGCTACAAAATGCCTGCGTTCTATGGAAACTTCTCCGAACCAGGACACTGTTCACCATAGCTACATGGGGCACGTGTTGGGACCCTCTACTTATAGCTACTAAATGGCGTTCTATGGAAACTTCTCCGAACCAGGACACTGTTCACCATAGCTACATGGGGCACGTGTTGGGACCCTCTACTTATAGCTACTAAATGCCTGCGTTCTATGGAAACTTCTCCGAACCAGGACACTGTTCACGTGGTAAATAAATATTCCGCTGTAAGCAGTTTTTACCTGAGGACAGTCCTTGATGTAGTGACCCTTCTTGAAGCACAGGTGACACAGGTACGTGGGGGGTGGTCTCTTCGTTGGCTTCCTGTCCATGCTGAGGGTCAGGTCGGCGAAGTGTTCCGCGAGATCGCCTGCAAACAAGAGCCGCATCCTCAAACCTGATACAGTACTTAGTTGAGTGTGGTAATGGCCCTCAGATTCTGCTCACGCTGATAGTGCCGCAGCCGCCGCTGCTGTTCTTTGGTAGGTTAAATGTTATGTTCATCATGTTATATTTTAGCGTCCTGTTGCACTGATTCACGTTCATGAGGTGTATTTGTACCAACCGTCTTACAGTGCACACAATTTCACCTTTCTCTTCACTACATGTTTCGGTACTAATGTGCCGTCTTCAGGTGTGGTTTTATTTACGTCAAACCACTGCACTGTATGCCATCATGTCTCCTTTATAAAATGATTAAAATGTATAAATGTCATGTATAATAATAAAGGTTATATATTAAAACTTTTCAAGATTTATCATCTATACGTCGGACTTCAAATTCGCGAGTTACGTCAATCCTCTCCTATGGGAGTACTCTTCCTATATTCTTGTGTATATTGTGTTCTGTGTTGTGTCCTTCCCTTCTGACTGCGTGCGTTGTATTGCAAGTCAAGCACACAGCGACTGAGTGGCGCTTCCACCTTCGGCGTCGAAGCGCAAGCAACAAACTAAGCAGCCGAACTGTCGGATTCTTCGACCTTCTTCGACCTACACGAAGACACGCCTACTTTTCCAGTTCTGAAGTTACTCGGATCGCCCGTTAAAATATATGTATCGTTATTTTACAGAATTCTCGATTTCTGGCAACAGTTCCTCGACACGTGTTGATCGAATATTTTTCACTCCAAATAACCCAATATTTAATCTGAAGTTAGGTACACGTTTTGCGGGACACTGTACGTACAGGCATACATACATATCGTACACCTCTCGTAATGCATACCTTTCTGACACACAGAGAGATGGTCAAAAATACGTACTGGGAAACGTTAAGATGCGGCCACACAGAGCGCTACGCTATGTTCGCTACGTACACTACGTACGCTGTGTACGCTATGTTCGCTACACCGCGTGGCCACACAGAAAGCTATGTTTGGTACGAAACTGCTCAGTCTTGAATGAGATGTTGGCCGATAGTGTGCCGGGGGGGGGGATCATTCCGACGAAGAGCTTTAGCTGTTACTTTCCTTGTGTAAACGGAACAGGAAGTGGGTGCATGGCGTGAACTTAAGGAGAACAAACTTTGGTGAATTTCATCATCTGATAAAGCAGTTACGTGAAGATGAAGTTAAATTTAATGAATATTTCCGAATGATGGGGCTGATGAAAATATGTTAAGTTCTTCATTTATAGAATCAAAATCCTGCGGTCCCTTTTCTCAAGCATCCTAAGCTCTTCACTTTCATATTGCCATGAGAAGAGAGGCGAAAGCTAGGGGCCTTCCGACAAACCGACGCTCTGTCCTCCCACTAATTGAAGTCTCTCAGTTCATCCATGCTTTCTGCTTTTCTTTCTTACGTCTCTATCTAGCCGCGCCATAGCTCACGCGGATAATCGCCGGCCTGGGTTCGAGCCCAGGTCAGATAATGTGGGATTTGTGCTAGACAAAGTGACACTAGGGCAGGTTTTCTCAGAGTACTTCAGTTTCCCCTGTCAATTTTCATTCCACCTACTGCTCCACTCATCATCATCTATCATCCTGGGCTCGTACAATAGGTCAAATAGTGGCCAACGTACCAAGTGGACTTAAGTCTCACCCCACCCCCATGAAATTACATTTACCTCTCCTTCTTCCATTTGTCAGAGTTTTAATGTTGGTTCTCTCATGCCACAATGCACGGAGAACCACAGGATGTTCGAACTTACCTATACTCTCACTGAGGCTGTTGTTAAGACCCACATTGAGGGCGTTGGCGAGGCCTGTCAGCCCGCCGGAGAGACTCCCATTGCTGTAGTAGTTGTAGTTGTAGGCCTGCGCTGTTGGAAACGGGCTCCATACCGCTGGTAGAATCTTCGACTGGAAACAACAGACAGAAATCGTCATGTTCTGTTACACGCTCAAAATGTCGATATAACTACGGAAGTGCACGCAGCAGCTAGGCTGTTCAGTTACTGCATTTCAAAGAACGCGAAGGTTGATTAATGTCTCATCGCGGGCCAAAAGAACCCACTCCATACCCTCACACCGTATATCCGTAAGATCCACTTCACTATCGGTGCAGCGGTAGCGTAGTTGGTTGAGGAACTGTGCTAGAAGCCGGAAGGTCGCGAGTTCGAGTCCCTATAAGGTGGATTTTTTCAACTGACCTATTCCTTCCAGCCGCACTATGGGCCTATTCAGCCTCTAACAGAAATGAGTACCAGGAATCTTCCTGGGGGGGGGGGGGGTAAAGGGCCGCAGGCGCGTAAGGCTGACCTCCCCGCCATCTGTGAGCCGACTGTCTAGAAAATGTGCGAGCCTCGACGTCTCAGAACCCTATGGCCCTTCATAGCCTGTTACAGGGATCACTTTACCTTTCTTTTTTTGCCATTTCAATATCATATCATTCCTAGAGGTCTCGTTCCTCCAGATCTTCTAAGTACATCTTCCCCGTGCGTGCTACATGCCCTATCCATCTCATCATCCTTTATCACTGTAACAACATCTGACAAATATCATGACTTGTCTACAGGTTCTCGAATCAGAAAGTGAATGAGCGAGTTTAAGTGAAACACGAAGCCCAAAACGGTTGTACATGTTCCCAGTTTGTAGGAAGTTTAGCAAATGACTCAAGCGAATATTATCGCTATATCTTTCGACGAAGCCGTTTCAACTGTAGATGATGGCGTTGCCAATAACAAGGAAACACAGAGTTGAACTGCGCGCGTAATACCCGTACTTTTACACGATGATTCTCGGAGGCTCTCGAGACTGACCAACTCTAGGGCATGTGTGGGGGCTCCTAACCCCCTCCCCCCCATCAGAGGTGTGTGTTGCGCAGATCGTGGCAGATCTGACAGTGACTCTGCGAGAAAGTGATCAGGTCTGGGGAAATATGGCTGATTAGGAACAAGATGACAGTGGCCTACCAAAACTACAAAGTTCCTCATTATGAAATTTTCTCCATTCTCCTGTTACTTCCCCTTTCGCTGGTCTAAACACTCTAACAATCTACCACACTGCAGGGCGTCACATTCACTGCCATGGGAACGAAAACTCTCCCTCGCCGTACATTCCTCTTCCGTTTGCGTGCAAAACCAAACAGGACACAGTACATAATACATTGTACAGGTTCTGGGGACTTTTTCTTTTCGCATAGTGGGGGGTGGGACCGCCTATGTGGTCTAGTGGTCAGGGTTCCTGGCTACAGATCCAGAGGTCCGGGTTCGATTCCCGGCGCTACCAGATTTTTTCGGAGAAGCAGTGGGTCTGGAACGGGGTCCACTCAGCCTCGTGATAACTGAGGAGCTATTTCAAGGAATAGCGGCTCCGGTCTAGAAAACCGAAATTAACGGCCCTGGGGATTCGTTGCACTGACCACGCAACACCCTCTATCCGCAAAAGTTGGCACTAAAACTTCGCCGACAAGCGGCGGTCGCTCGGTCGGTATAGTTCGCTTGCGGACTGAAATCACGGAGTTAGTAGGGCGTGGAGTCCATTTGGGTCCACTCGGCACGGCGGTCACTGATTGGCCTACTGTACTGTGATTATGATGATAGAGAATTTGGTGGAATGAAGATTGGCAAGGGAAATCGAAGTACTAGGAGAAAACCCACCCCAGCGCCACTTTGTCCACCACAAATCCCACTTGACCAGACCTGGGATCGAACCCGGGCCGCCGCGGTGGGAAGCCAGCGACTAAACGCTTGAGCTGTGGCACGGTCTAAACAGGTTCAGTTCCTCTAACTGCGCTGCTACATCACTTCCAATGCCTGGACGACACTAACACAACTGCAGAGGATATGGAAGAAGTGGTCGTGGACTTGACTGGTCTGAGAGAAACCATGAAATGTTGACCGAAATTCGAAACAGGCACTTTCATAATGAAAGTCAGAAGCGCTATCGCCTGACCTACCTTGTGCAGGTTTTACTGGCACGGCAGCGCAAGACATGCGCAACACACGGGGGAAAAAAAACTCCTGTTAAGTCAGGACATATGGCACCTTCGTTACTGGTGGCCACAACGCAACTGTCTGCTTGCTCCCAGACAATTTTCGGGATAACTAACTTCATGGAGCTGTGCGCTTCTTGAGAAGCCGTCATTTATGCAGCTCCTCAACCTCCCAACATTTTATAGAACATTATGGTTCATTACCGTGTTCACAAGAGCCCTCCACTGGTCCCTATCCTGAGCCAGACCAATCCAGTCCACCCTCATCCTATCAAGGATCCAATTTAATATTATCCACCCATCTACGTCTTGGATCTTTCTAGTAGCTTCTTCTGGCTTTCCCAGAAATATCCTATAAGCATTCCTCTTCTCCACATGCGTGCTATATGCCCTACCCATCTCATTCTCCTTGGTCATTAATTATACTTGGCGAAATGTAGAAGTTATGAAGCTCTTCATAATGCAGTTTTCTCCAAATTCACGTCACTTCATTTCTCTTCGGTCCAAATATTCTCCTCAGCACCTTGTTCTCAAACACCCTCAGTCTGTGTTCCTCCCTTAATGTTAGAGACCAAGTTTCACACCCATACCGAACAGGGATAATACTCTGAAAATAGCCACGGATCAACATCTGACGCCGTTCAGTTAACACAGATTCATTAAAATTTTAAGGGACAGACCGAACAGGCTCGTGCAATATGAACACACTACACTTCTATTTTGGAAGTTCTCGCTTCGAATCCCAACATTAACACTTTTCGTACCTCAATTAGGACATGGTCGCTTCCTATCAAATATTTACCTGTTCATTACTCAGTAATCGCACCACCATTCGACGCTACATGCTCTACGTACTGGCCGTGTCGTTAAATGAACCACGATCAACCCAACACGGAAGATGTCTGATGCATGATTCTCGCAACAAACAGGGACTGTTTCCCCTAACAGCATTAACCGGTTGGGCTTTGTAGGAGAGACGTACGTGTTTCCTGTGAGGTACAAACTGAATTTCTAAAGATTGTGAAATGCAGACCCGCTGGTAGGCAACAACGGAGAAATAAGCAACTATACAACAGCCGTTGCTAAGTAACGGCTCCACAAACGGGCATGTTTCCAATGCAACAGTTGCACTGCAACAGAAGACCGGTGTTATCTACACGGTCCATGCCCAGACGTTATATGCATAGTGAGTTTGAGAACTGGTGCCTGTGTGGAGGCGGGTTCGAATACCACCACCGTAGCCCTGAGTAGTAGGCGGCGACGAAAAGGAAACCCAGTGTCTGTGGTATAAGTAGGTCACCCTGTTCCTGTGGGATATAAATACGAGAATCCGGCCCTCCAGGTTGGGGGGAGTCGAATTTGAGACAGTAAAATATGGTAATGTGTCCCGTGGGATTCGGACCCGAGAATGACATCGCGGGCGAGGGCCAGAAACGATTGTAAAACGACAGACCAATCCTCTCAATTGAGAGGATGTTACGTAAGGACTATGACCGCAAGGTTACAGTTGAAAAAGAAATCGCTGGTCGTTAAGTCTCAAAGAGCTTGGCGTCAAGACGAACTAATTGGCGGTAAACCGCCAGTCGTGAAATGACTGTGACTAGAGATCTGCTGAGGTTCAGTTGTCGTGAGCTGTTACAGTTGGAAGCTGGCAGCTGAGGCCGCGGACAGGTTGGCAACACGCCCTCCGCTGAAAGCCGCTACCAAGCAACGACAGTGAAGACGTGACTGTGGACGCTAATGTTGTGTAATAGTGAAATGTAAAGTGCAGTCACGCGCTGTATGTTAAACAGTCCAAAAAATCCAATTATCAATCCAAACACCGACTACAGTGACACTAAAATCGTGACAGTATTATTTCAGTAATTTTTTGGTATGAAGAAGATACGAAAATGACACAAATAACTAAACATATTACTCGCATCTTGTGACTGACGAGAAACCTGGAAGCTATGTAGNTACTCTAGTCAGTGAGGAACACAGGCCGAGGGTGAAGAGCACTATATTCTAGAATGTACCGTGCCGCCGTGTAGTCGGCTGCAAGTTCATCCACGATGAGGATGAACGCACTGCCTCCCTCTTCACTGTTGATGTTTGCATGCTTGATTTTTCGACCCTTAAGATGGAGACAGTAAATTCTTCCGAAACGTCGGTGAGCTTCTACACGGCATGACATTCCAAAAGAGTAAACTCTCCACGTCACAAAGGGCACACGAGAACTCAACCCTCTTCCTTCACCGCACACAGCACAGACGTGCGATTTCGAGGAAACAGATGAGGTGCTGTGCACCCTGGGCCCACAAGAGAATGAAACCTAATGTGTGTGACAATACATGAGCCAAAGTGCGGCTCATTTGTCCCACTCAGAGATGTGGAAAGGGTGAAGGGTGGAATGTACAGTTATGTCATGAAGTTATCTTCATCCTCCACTGAAGAATTCCGACGTTTCCGAAGAAGCACTGTCTTCATCTTCTGGGTCGTGGATCGATCCCCCCGGACAATACGACTGCACCACTGTTTACCGCGTAACGTACAAGAGGCATATGGAAGCAGAGCTTCATGCATTACCCTCGGTCTTCGATGGGGGGGGGGTGCTTAAGGTTCGGACCGCGTTGCTCATGTACCCGCAGCATAGGAAGACAACTGAGCCCCTATGCCACTACCGGGAATCGAATATCAGTCGTACAGCCCGTAGGCAGTCTAACTCCGAACTTTCAAGATCGAATGTGTTGGTGACTGGTTAATTCTTAAGACAGGCTCTCGTGATTTTCCTTCGTTCGTTCAAGCCAACTACAAGATGCTGCCCGGGTCTGTTAACGCCCGGTTCGAAGTCCGTAAACGTCCGACGCTGTGAACTGATAAAGCGTCCTTTAAACAACCAACGCAACGAACCAAAGCCCCACGTCCCACAGGCGGTGTCAACACA